CCGAGAGTCTAGGATGCGTGGGCCAATTCTTAGGCTCGCATTTCGAAGTGTTTTGAGCAGCTTGAGGATATGATGGACAGTTTTCTTAATATGAGTCCTTTCAGATTTCTCAACAAGTATCACGTGAAATATAAGTTTTTGGCTGGAGTTTAGTGTCACAGTTTTGGACTCAGAGTTTCATTTAAAGAATAATCTGTTTCTTTTCCCTCCGTTATTATCACAATTTTATGTACATTTGACAAGATATCATCTTACTGTGTGCTAGACAATTCACTAATTTTACATTCTGCCTTGGAAAGAATTAGATTTGAAATTACTACAGAGGATGTTACCAAAATGGTCGTTATTGAACCACCGGGTAATATATGTAACTTATATCGTTCTTCTTGTAAGTTTGCTCAGTCGTCGCACATCATGTCGTCATCGTCAGCTTCTTTAGTCAACTATAGACAATTATGCCGGACTCAAAATAGTGACATTTTTCTACGAAACGTTTAAAGAATTTAGTTTCGTAGAAATTGATTTCTTGTGCCTGATTAGGCAGAATATGGTGTTTAACCTTTTGACGCTCTTTGAAACTAAGACACATTAACAGCAACTGGGAATTCTTTTCGTCGTCCATAGCGGCGAATTCTATTCGCACAATATTTTCTGTTCTGCCATGCCTTGTTTAAAATTACGATTACTATATGAGATAGGAATGTGTGCCTTCATGTTCTGGAATATTTGGTTAAGTCGAGAATCCCAAAATTACAATTGCTGTTGAATATCTAACATCTGCTGCTGTAAGAATAGCTGCAGTTGTTCGGAAGGGATTCCATATTGGTCTAGCTTCAATTGACTTATGATTTCAACTATTGAAATTCAATATTTGTGACGCAACTATTATCTTGAGTATGCTTTATCTCTAGAAAGTGTCCGACAATTGTCACGCTTGGTTTTTTCGAAATCTAAGTCTCAAATTGATGTAGCTTTCTATTATCGCATTAAGATAAACAAGTTACTTACTTATTTTGGGTAGGCGTGATATTTTGGTTAGCCAGAAATGATCATTGAATGGATTATGTCGCGGACTGAATATCGACGTCCCTACATAGAATAAAATACAGTGTAATTAACTATTCTCATCACCACACTGAATCTAGTAAACGAACAATGGCATCGAAATACTTTTAACAACAAATACAGCGAATTGGTATTTCAAGGTCAAGTTTAATTTCACTTCTTTCAGGTAATACAATGCCTTAGTGGACCCACAGTGTTCAAAACTAGGACATCTTTTCTTGATTTATACAGACGATTTTTCACAATATGTATCATCTGACATTACTTTTTGCTGATGATGTGAAACTTTGGAGAGATACGCAACCAAGAGGATATACTGACCCTTCAGGAGGATCTGACTCGATTTCAAAGTTAGAGTGATGACAACGGACTTAACTTTAGAACTTCAAAATGAAAAGTGGTCCACCTGAGACGTGTTGCTGACTACAATTATAAATAAGGCATCTATTCTCTAGAAGCGTCCAAGCCAAGCGTCTCCAATAACAAAATATTTACCTATTAGAGTGCAGGCATCTCAGATGTAACCTTCTAACGGCTTTCGGTATCCTCAACAATTCTGGACATCTCAAACACCTACTTAAGTTTAGTTCCAACACAAACCTAAAAGGCAACACCCAGAAATTGGAGACTCAGCACAACGGAACGGATAGTAGACCCACCCTCTACTTAAGAGCTGTCAAACGCTGAAATTCGTTGCCGGTTGTGCTAGTCCAAGCGACTTCCCAGGAGTACTTTAAAAGAAAACTTGACCTATTCTTAAGGACTAAGGATAATACCCTACCATGATTTTGTAGTTTCATTTTCCTCTTTAATCGTTAATATACCCAGGTTCTTGCCTGAACGTACTTCGATACAAAAATAAAGAAGTAAATAAATATTTGAGCTATAATATTCTGACGCTACTAAGATGTTTGCATTATTATGGAAATTTCTTCCCTCATAAATATACATGGCAGGTAGATTGTGTACGTTTTTAAGACTTCTTGATGAAGCTGTCGTTTGCACTGATCTGCTGTGCCCGGAAACGTCTGCAATCTACTCAAACATCATATGCCTCCAACATGTCTAAACGATATCAAACTAAAAGTTTTATTTGCCTCTCTTTTATTATTTGCAGTTGTACAAAATATGTCTCCGTAGTTATTCGTCCCTCCTTAGTTTTTACTGGGAATGGACAGATAACTCACTAGACATACCGGTATCTCCTAACTTTTGTCGGCCTCAAATGGGCACTCACTACTACTACTTTGTTCGACATTCTATGCGTCAGTTATGGAAGCAGACTGGTTGGCCGAGGCATTGGCTGGATATTTCTTAGTGTCTGAGCTTTTCTGTGTTTTCGATGTTTAAGTCTAAGTCTCTTTAGGTTCGTTGATGTTGCTTTTTTAGACCCCACTACTTCTGCCGGGCATCCTTGCACTGAATGAAGACGGAGATATGGAAAACCAATCTATTGTTTAATGCAAAATTGCACGGTGTTTTCGTAAAATATGAAAATTATATATAAAATACTTCATTTGACAGTTTCTTTGGATTGTTATTTACATACCCCACTATCCCTGTAATTCTACTGTCATTCTAATTGCCCCCAATTTCCCTTATTATCCTTCCCAATTCAATTTTTTGATGGCATGCATTCAATTTCTGATTGGTGCTACCTAGTTATTATATATCTCAGCACAAGCAGCATAAATCATACTCCTACTGTGGCTAACTGTGACCGGTCGTTAATGATACCCACTTTCTATACGCCTGCTGTTACATCATTGATACAACTGGAATCTATTCCTCTCGTACTATTTCGCTTCTCCTCAATTATGTTCTGTTACAAGATCATCTTTTCAATTTTACAGATGATTAACGCTGCAACTCTGTCCGAAGACAAATATTGCTTTGCACTATGCATTCAACAATCATATGACAGGTCAAAAGTATACCAGAGGGGGGAGAGCGATCGAGTGTTTTGTAACTAGCCGCTGAGGAACTTTTTCGTTTCGTTTGTCGGTTCGTATACGACAAGTGAAAGCAAACTAGCATCCGGCCTGATACAAGTGTTTCGGTGATCGTGGTAAGCCATGAATCGTAGGTGGAGATATTAACCAAGACGGTGTATTAGCAGTATCGAACAGTGGAAAAAATAGATAAGCGAAAGTTTTCTTCCTGAAAAATTGCTGACATTAAATACTAAGCTAAAGCCATTACACAGTTAACTATTAAATTAAATGATATATGACAGAGAAATATACGAAACAATAATATTCGAGTAAGTATTTTTAATGATATTAGTAATTAAGTCAAGTATGTAAGAAATAAATCTGAGAGAAAAGTTAATCATATCATGTCATTACCTTCAAAACTCATGGAGTCCCTGATATGCGACGGTTTAAACGACTGTCTATTGTCCTTAAATTTCTTCTCACCCCAACAGCATGGTTTCAGGAAGGGTTATTCTTGTATAACCAACCTGCTGACTGCGGTGGACAGATGGACAAGCATCCTTGATCACAAGGGGAAGGCTGATATCATCTACCTAGATTTCTCAAAAGCTTTTGATAAGGTTAACCACTTGTGTCTTATCAATAAGCTCAAACGACTAGGTATCAAACCACCTCTAATCGATTGGCTTACTTCTTACCTAAAAAATCGACACTTTAATGTTAGGGTTACTTTCACTTTATCTCAGGCTATGGAATGTCCTAGTGGGGTCCCCCAGGGCTCAGTACTAGGGCCTATTCTCTTCTTGATCTACATAAATGATCTTCCTCAACAGGTAACGTCAGACTTATTACTTTTTGCCGACGACGTGAAACTTTGGAGAGAGATACGCAACCAAGACGATATACAGGCATTTCACGAGGATCTGACTCGACTTCAAAGTTGGGCAGACGATAACGGATTTACCTTTAACACTTCAAAGTGTGAAGTAGTCCATCTGCGACATGTCGCAAACTACAGTTACAACTTAGGAAACTCCTCTCTAGTAGCATCCCAAGTCGAAAAAGATTTAGAAGTCCTGGTGCCCCATGATTTAAATTCTTACGCTAACTGTGACAAAAATGCCTTCCGAGCAAACCTTGCACTGGTAACGCTAAAGAGCATTTTTGGACAGTTCGACGGACGAAATTTCCATACAATCTTCAATAGTTTCATCCATCCCCATTTAGAGTACGGAAACATAGTACTCCCTCCTCACTCCAAAATGACAAGGTCACTTTGGAGCGTATCCAACGGCGAGCCACGCAATTAGTTCGAGGACTCAAATTTAAACCTAACGTAGAGCGCCTCCATTCACTAGACCTTTATCCATTAAAGCGTAGGCTTCTTAGAGGCGATTTATCAATGGCTTATAGTATTCTTAACAATTCTGGACATCCTCTCAAACACCTACTTAAGCTTAGTTCGATCAATAACCCAAGGAGTAACACCCGGAAACTGGAGACACAACATAGCAAAACGGAACGTAGACATAACTTCTACTCCTTAAGAGTTGTCAAAAGCTGGAATTCGCTGCCGGCCGAGATAGTCCAAGCGACTTCTCAGGAGTCCTTTAAGAGGCAACTTGACCTATTCTTAAGGATCAAGGACAGCATCATACTATGATTTACCAATTTCTTTTCCTCTTTTATTGTTAACATAACTAGGTTCCCGCCTGGAGGATTTGGTGATCCCCTGCTACTAGACACGGAAGCCTGTTAAGCGAAAGCTTCTTCTACTCCGTCCACAACCATTTGAGCCATTTGAATTTGAACCATTATAACAACCCCAGTCCGTGAGAGTCGACTGAACGAAAAAATGAGGAAAGACAAACGCAAATCTTCTTTTTTTCTATTCCTTGTCGTATAATTTATTTTAAATCGCTTTACGCAATACTAACTCCTAGTTCCCGAAGCAACTTAATTCCACATTTTGTTTGGCGCTGATAAGTGGTAGCGCGCACAATGAAACTAGTTGCATATGAATGTACTTCGCTCAGCTGTTTTCCACTTGGTCTTTCACGGTTAGTAGTTTTTGTAGTGAAACAGAATATTTTAGAATTCAGATTGAATGAAGAAAGAATTCTCGTTTTAATCAACTAGAGCTTCTGAAAATGTGTTTTTATACTAACTGAGTGTTAATTAATATACATTATTTCTGAAGATATTTGTACATACTGGCTCATATAATGGGTAAAAGTTATTGAAAACTATTTCAAGATATAGATTTCAAAAATCCATGGGAAGATTTTATTTTCGACCAGACAGTCGATAATATTAGTCAGTTTGTGTAATAATTATATGCTTGATTTGTAGATGAATCCTCTGACTGTTTTAACAATATAAAGCTTAGCAGTAAGTTTATTTTGCAGAGAAAACACTCCTATACAGACTTTCCTTTTCTCAAAAGTCAGTTTTCCTCCATTGACTATCTCATAAAGTGTGAATTATGCAATGTTATGCTTCTTCCGGAGAGCATTTCTTTGCATTATGGTTTGTTTATTTTATTTAAATTGTATGATAATTTTTATTACTAGACGACCGGCACTCAGAGCCCCCAAAGTCTGTCGGTTCTGCTGTCTTGCCATACGAAGCTGTTTCTTGGTGTGAATGTCAGGCTGAAATTGATTCCAAAAAGGATCGGACTTCCAAACGTACTAAGGTCGCGCCTCTCAAGCGTTCTAAACGCAACACACCTAACCCCTCAGATGCCTCACCTTATTCAGTTAAAATGGATATATCGAAAACAGTTATTACAAGTCGAGAAGTAGAAAAGACCAGTCATGAGGAACTTAGAGAACCAGTTTTGTTGAAATTAGCAAAGTCAGATGGAAGAATATCTCAAAGTGAGGAAGTGTCCAAAAAGCCTTTAAGGACACCTGCAGAAAGTAAACTCAATGAGCGATCTGTGTGGTCGGTTGTTTGTCCAAGAGAGCATTCTGCTGGTAATTTTTATGAACTCACCTCCAAAGGTCAGGTTGAGGAAAGTCGACACCTGGGGAAAGATATGTTTGAGTGCCGATCAAGTTTTAATCATTCTAATGATTCTGGCATCGGATCTCAAGCACATTCAGTTTTTCGCTGTTCATCATATCCCCCGACACCTTCATTGTCTCCACATCTTCCAAGTTCTAGTCCATCAAATGTTTCTGATGACACGACATTTGGTTTTAACCAGTTCCGGCCTGAAGTTGCAAACCGACCTGTTTCACGCTCATCCCACTCTAGTTCTAGCAGTGGAATCGGTATTTCTGATCAGCACAATACTGATTCTAGCATTACTATTCCAACAACAATTTTCAATGTAAATAGTACAAAAGCAGTCACTTCACTTCCTTTATCAGACATAAAGTCAACTGCCAAATGCAAAGTTAAGTGCAAGCTCTCGACGGTTTGCCTTCGGAACAACGTCCCTCTATGTTCCACTTCCTCTCAACCGGTGATCTCGGGTGAGGCATTGACTAAAGTGCATTCCAGTAGGGAAGTAGAGTCAACTGTATATCATCTAAAAAACAATCGTCAAGAATTCGATGGTAAATTAATTAGTAGTGAGTTGAGGCGGAATGGTTTCCATAGCTGGATTACTGGTGAACGACCAACGTCATCAGATGCCACACACAAAACCGATAATGTTAGACGTTTACTGGCATTTCAGCGGCTATCAACCCCAAGAAATCAAACAATTCTATTGCAACAAGCCCCTAGGCAGATAAAGAGTGTGCATTTAGCACCTTCGTTCATCTCACAATATTATCAAACAGAAAACTTGGAAGGAAATGAAGCTTCTACTTCGAATGACACTAATCGATTTGTCCAACCAAATATTTTAATACAACCAGAAAAGTCCTCAAAACTAGACGTGGTGAATGATAGTTCATCTCGAATTAACTGGCCTCCAGAATCTATAATTTCTGGTCCCTCTAGCCATATGGCTAGGAGTACTGGCGAATTGCAAGAATTCTTGGAAGAGCTAGGTAGATTTAATTGTTTGCTTTGTTTACTATAGTGTTCGGCAAATTTTTGTCTATTTACACTACACAAAATCAGTTCAATGGGTATTTCTAGATAAAATATTGTAAATGGACTTTTCATATAATTACCATATATCCATGATTTCTCGAAATTTTTTTCGATCTATCTCTGCACATTTGCTAGAAATACTGACAAATAATTCACTTTCAGCTTTGACTATTGAAACAGTGGATGGAAGATTATAGTGAGCAATTCATTTAGGCTATGGCTGATGTCAAGTTGCTCACTACTTACCAACAATTTTAATGAAATTAGCATCAACCTCTCAATGAGTCGATTCTAGAGGTTGTTATGTATAATGGTTCGGTCATTACAGTGGGATCAAAATATCACTTTGAGAGGTGGATGTATTACCACGGAATTCGTCACAATCGCTGATCACATTTTATGATAACCATTAGCTGTGCTTTTATGGTTATCATGTCCGATCAACAGTTCTGTAATTTTCCGGCTCTCAACTTATGGAGCAACGTGGGGATAAGCAGGGAATACTCGGGCCTACTCACGAATGTAGGAACTGATATCTTATCGAAGTAAAGTATGCCTTAATTGGCGATGTGTTGGATACATTTTTTTTCTAAGTATAGAATGTTTATTCCAGAATGGTCTAAGTTTAAACGTGGAAAGGAAATGAGATTCTATCGTGATATGACTCGAAATAGATCTCATTAGTGCAGTTTCATTTTCTTATTTACCACCGAATCTTATAAATTCTTATGTTAATCTCCATTAACATTGGTACTTATATGTACGCACATTTTTCCATCGTCACCCTTGCTAACTGATACTTCTACTATACTAAGGGAGTTGTGGACACTTGGGCTGATCCTCATTTATATCAGCTCTTCCGTGTTTTTGGTCGACTGATATTTAGTCCCTATGTTGTTGTGCAATCAGGAATCAGTAGCACAACTAAAAAAACCATGTAAACTGCCGGATCTACTCTAATAGATTACTATAGTATTCATGACCGCCATCCTCTCTCGATATATATATATATATATATATATATATATATATATATATACTATTGACAGTGTCAAATCATTTTATTACAGTCAAAAAAAGAAATAGTAACTTAAACGATTACTGGAAAATTTGACTTGTCAATCCTAAACAAATATTTCTGTCTCTTTTGTTCGTAACATATGTTTTTAGTGTTGATTATAGTAGTAGGATAGAAGCCTAAGAATCCAATATATGTCAAATAAAATTTCTAAAGTACACTCTTTACAGTTTTGGCTATGGGCCATTTGAAATATGATTAACTGGTTAGATTAAAATATGATGAACTACAAAATCGTTACTTGTTGATTTCAGCATTTTATATTACCGAAATTATGAAAGAGATGTTTAATAATGGCTGCACAACATTTTTCATCCGATTCTGCTCTTGCAAGTTAGAAGCCATCATTTTATTTTAATGCGCTTATTCTTCACTGAATAACTTATATAATGGCAATAATAACAAAAAACTTATCAGCATAACTTCCGGGCTATTGAGATGATTGGTATAAATGCACTTAATTTTTGTGAAACTATTTTAGGTGGGTTATTACTTAAAGAACCGGGTTATATGAGTTGATATTGTGTTTATCGATCTGAACAAAAGTTTTTGGTTGATGTTAATTTACTACAGGATCCAATTTATTTTCGCCTTTTTTTCAGAGGATACATTTGATCCTCTTACTCAGTGTGGCTGCTTGGAAATGGATGATATCAGGTGTAGAAATTCTATTTTATGTACGGTAAGTTTTTATTTCATCTATCGATTTGAGTTGATTCTAATTATCTTCTGTTTTGCTTATTTGCCGATTGAGATTTTCAACACTATGCATTTGTTTACTAAGTTTACTAGATTGTCAATATTAATACCATAATGAACTAATAATCGTTTTCCAACCACTTATCCGATCTTTTCCTCCAGGAGGACGTTTCTTGCTTATTTGACTATGGTTTGCGATATAATATTTAAAATAGATAGATACTAAATCTTTGTTCCTCTATATGACTTAGGAAAATATGAATTTATCTCGTCATACAGTGTGTAGTTATTCTACAATGTACTAAATAGGTTTTAAGGGTTATTTATTTTATTTATTTATTTCAACACATAGATATTGGTACAAAGAGGCATCAAATACATATGCGCCACACAAATCTCATTCGATATGTGTGAGGGCTGTGATACTGACCGGCTGCCCAAACCGAAGCAGGTGGTTTTCTTAGGGGGCCACTCCCCGAGCCTTTGACATGAAGGTCTGATCCACAAGGCAGTGGAGCATTGTATGGAGATGCAGTCCCATGGAAGCCGGTGACCATTTATGGGTTGTTATCTCAGCGTGTTTCTCTAGAAAAAAATAAAAAATCCTTTGATATCTTGTTTCAATAATCTTTAATATGCCTTCGACTTCCTCGTTATTTCTGTGTCAATCCGTTCCTGTTCGAGTTGAGATAGTTTGTTGGGTTTATGCATTAAATTTTTCTATGTGTAATTAGTTGAAGTTTGAATGATACATCTCATATGTTGTAAGTGGTTTTCCATTGAATTCAGTTTTTTGGTTTCTGTTCGGTTTTTATGATCTTTTGTCTCAATGAACTTCTTTAAAGCTCTTTCGTCCAGATCGGTTTCATGAAAATATCTTTCAATAACTAGGTTTTTAACACCAAAATGACTGAACAGCTTTTATGTGTTAGTTTTTCATGAAATATGCTATTTTAGTTCTTTTTGAATTAAACAATAAGTGTACAACTTATTGCCTACTGCTAAATAATGTTCTAAGATTTGTTCTTGTAGAATATATTTTTTTAATTGGTGGATATATGATACTCAAATTAATGTTTTTCTGTAGTATTTAATCATTGATTATAATGCTGGTTTGTTCAACACCATATGTTCAATTACGGTAAAGAATTCTCAGCATAAAACATGCAACTTCACAATAAAACTCCCTCATTTAACTTTTAAATACTCAAAAGTATGTATAAAAAGTCATTAAACGATCATTAGTGGCCATCCATATTCATCTATAAATGTTTACGATCAGTTTCGCTCTCATGAATCCTCATTTTTGAGTATACTTAAAACATAAATTTTAAAATGATCACTTCTAGTTTCTCCAAGAGCCAGGATAAGTAGAAAGAAAGTATAGGAATTACCGTGTTTGTGCTTCTTGAGTTTTTTTACAATTAAATTCTTGGTAAGTTGTAAGAGTTTTATGAGACGTAATTATATGTGGCTAGCAGAAATAATAAACTAGAACGAATCTAAACCAAAATAGTTTATGGGAGTCAATGTACCATTGGAAAAATGGTCCCTCGAATGTTCGACCAGGTCACTTTATTTTGATAATCTTACTAAGTGTAGTGGTTTTGTGGAACAAGTTTTATGCTAAAATTTGTAGATATGTATGATTAACACTTCAACCGAATCACAAGACCGAATTCGCGTGGATCTGTGAAGCTGATGGAATGCCAATCAATAATATGTATTGATCATATCTTCACCCTCCTTCAAATGGTAGAAAACCGTCATACTTATTGCAGGCCAACGATCATGGTGTTCTTGATATATGAGTCTCCTTCAATTCGTTGGACAGTGCTTTTCTCTTGGGTTACCTATTGTAAAAAGGTGTGTTTAAGAAGGTTGTCAACATCTCGAAAGCCCTATATAAAGACATCTCAGGCAAAGTGACGCATACAACAACCCCTCCCCATTGTTTCATTCAAGCATTGGGGTTAGTAAGGGTTGCCCAATCTCACAGTTTGGATCTATAAAGCGTTGGTGAGAGCAGTCTGATCTGTGCTTGTGAAACCTGAACTCTCTTAATCGAGGATATTAAGTGACTCTCTGTGTTTGATCGTCGTTGCTTCCGAAGGATTGGTGATATTCAGTAGCAATACCAGGTCAGTAATGCTGAGGTTCGGCATCGTGTGTTCGGGCGCAGCGATAATAATTCATTTGCTGTCATCATCTTGAAACACCAACTTCAGTGGCTTGGACGTGTCCTACGAATGTCGGCCCCGTGAATCCCACGTCGTGTATTATATACCGACGCTAGGAATGGTTGAAGAAAGCGTAAAAATAATCAGTTTATGACATAGTGTCGTGGCATGAAAGAAAGCTATACAGGTCTGGTTTATTTGGTCATTCACAACTCTACGTTTGGGGTCCTAGAGATGGTGCAACACAGTGGCTTGAAACATCAGGCATCGATCAGAGTGGAGACAAGTAGTGATCCTGCGGTTAATTTTTTCTGCTTTTTTCATAACAGAAAGAGTAACTTCTATAACTGAAAGACTTTTTCTGGTTATACTTTTGCTAACTGAACTTTTACAATTGATTGATTACTGGGTGGTGATCAATGTCATGTATGTCAAATCCTTCTTAGTGCAGAGCGAATCCTGTCGACCAAGTTGCAATGTTTTCACTAGTATAGGTGACTAGACATTGCGTGCACTATGCTAAGTTGGTGGTTGATCAATCAACTGTAAATGCATCCCAGTCCTACTGGAGGTTAGTCTTGGCCCGGATAGCTCAGTCATAACGTCTCTGAATGAAGCTGGGTGACACGAGATCGAATCCGTCAGGGAACATCAGTTCCCTCAAGATTACGAGTACGCCTTGCCGTTGAGTGCTAAATAGCACGAAATCTAGGTCTCGGGTCTCCTGTCGACTGCCTCAAACCACCAGCTAACTGAACTGTTTCCCCTATTATTATTATTTCACACACTAATTTATATTCGATTGTGTTCTTTTTCATTATACTCACTTCCCTTCCTTTGTCTCTTGACAACATTATTGTGTGGTGCATACATATTTTGGTGTCCCGTTGTACCAATGTTCATGTGTTCAAAAAAATAATAATAGATTAATTGGAAAAGATGTTTCATTGTGTCAAGTATGACGAATACTATTACAAAATTACTCCTTTGTTATTTAGATTAAAATTGCCAGATTACAAATGTTTTTAATTTACTGATATGAATAAAAGGTTGATAAGCGCAATATTGTTAATTATAGTGAAGGTTATGCTAATGTTCGGATTAAAAAAATGTAGTTGAATGTTGATGAATTTTGAAGTAGTTCTAGCAATTTCTGTTATTCACAATTTTTATTAATCTTAAATAGAAAATTCCTATCGATTTCCGCCTTCGGCTATACATTTATCATATTAAGAACGATTAGTTTTAAAAAAAAATAGATTTTATGTTGCAGTAACAGATAATTCCCGCCGAAGGAGATGACTAGTACAAAAGTAATATGCTCTAGATTATTATCCTTAAATGAATGAATGAATTAATGATCTGTAAATACAAGATAATATTACAATGAATGCAACCACACACCCATAATCCAAAAGCACTTTAATCTGTATCATTTCAGAATGCCCGTTATTAATCAGTTACCTTTAGAGTAAACATTTTGTACGTCCAGTGTTACTGTAGTGTACTATTAGAAGAATTTATAACTTCCAAATCGTAATTGCTCCGACCTAGTAAATATACTTACCGTAAGGCTTTTTGTTTAATTATGCGTTGTCTACAAATCTAATGAAACTTAGTTTTGTCATCTGAAATTTTTCTCAATTATTAAAGGAAAATAAACACTTTTGTAGTAATAAAGTAAAACAGTTTGTACGTAATTTTTAGAAAATGCCAAAATTCAATCTTTTCATCTAACAACTATTCATATTAATTGTGCTTACGTTTACTAGATACAACTGAAAAACGTTGTTGTACAATTTGTATTCACTAAGTCGTTATGTGCTTTTTTCTATTGATCTTTTCTCACATTCCATTCTAGCGTATTACTGGAATGTTCCTAGAAATCGTAAATTGACTGTTTATTTCATGTATGGTGGCTCAATAGCTAGGCAATTAAACTTTCAGATATTAAGTTATAGGTTTCAACCATGATCCACCTACTTCATTTTAGGAAACCAAATAGTATTTCGCTGGAACCATATATCGATCTAAGTTAGACTACTATTGAAAACCTGGGAGCACTGGACAACCGTTTTGTCCTGGTATGGGACTGCGAGGTTGTGGAGGTGAACCATCGATGAGTTCACGATTTCAGTGAAATTCAACAATCTCCGCAATCCTATTGTGACAACCAAATTACACCACTAACCCTCACATTTAAATTGTGGCTCAAAACCTAATTATCTATATAATCACTAGCCGTCATACAAATTAACTTAGACCTGAATAAATAAAGTGTATATTTGATTATTTAATTAAAACAAAGTCCATATATCATAAATATATTTAATTTACTGAATATTATCAAACTATTTTTTTTCAAGAAGTGGCCGGGGCTTCATGATTAATATGCTTGTTCACTAGCTAATAAATTTCAGGCCTTAACTCCTTAATCAACTATAATTTGGTCAATCATAAATACCTGTATTTTTTAACTTTTAATTTACAATAAATTACTGACTTTTGTCATAATCAAAATTCCAAGTTTGTCTTCTAATTCTAAAGTTAACATTCTATCTATTAACATAGCATATAGTTTTGTTTTCCATCATGCTTATCCTTCAACTTAGTTTCGACTGCTTTATCATTGGAATAGAAAGACTTTTACGTGTAATGCTTATTTTTGTGAGTTTACTTCTGTCAGCTGTGAACTTTGTGGCATTTCACTTGTGCAACGTTCAGATAGGAACCTATTTTACATACAAAATCGATTTGTAAATTTTTACCGTAGCATATTGTTAAATGGAAGTAACTAATAGCTACCAGTTAGTAAAACAAATTGGATATTACCTTTCGGTTATCACATAATTCATATAAATATTTTCCTCCAGGTACATACAATTGAGGAGAAACGTAGGGTCCCACGCCAACATGATTTACGTTATCTTATGCGAGAAGCAAGGAAAAAACAACAAATCTTAAGGTTAGTTGAAATTTTTTCTAACATAATATCAGTCAATATCCATCAATTATGGAGACGCATTTTCTCCTTAGTCCTAAAACTCCATATTGTGAATTAGAGCAACATACATAAGTGAACAATATTGTTTTCGATTAGATCCTCACCAGGCTTTAATATACAGTAATATTTATATGCATCTACGAAATTATTAAACCAATCAAGGCAGTCAATGCTTCAGTGATAACAGTGGAATAGATTACATAAATAAATGTAATAATAAAAGTACGAATTGATAGTGTGATGACAGATGTACTAGTTGTGATAAGAATAACAAAGGCTTAAATCAATGTTTTATAATGTGAAATAGGTCGATGATTTGAAAATCTAGATGCTGAAATAACATTCATAAAAACCATAAGATTACGTAATAAGAAGTGTTCATATGGTTTGACAATGAAACGTATATTTGGAAGAAAAAATGTAAAGAAAATTAAACAAAGAATATGGTAAATAATAATAAAAATTTTTATTAAGACTGTTTCGGTCCAGGTTATGATAAAGGTGCTACAAATTTCTTATGAACACAAAGACTTGGATTGTTAGCCCGAATTCTCATAGCTCCTGCTATGTGTAAGAGACGAGATTGAACCCCATAAAGAATACTAGTACGAATACCATATATCGCAATAAACGACCTATTTCTATCTGCTGCATGACCGCTATCGATCAAATGTAATAGAACAGAGCTATATATTGCTTTGACGATACTCTTTACCTATCACGAAAGGATATTTATCTATTCGAACAGATAAATATTGATACAAAGGGGCACTGAATACATTTGCGCCACACAAGTCACTTGATTTGTTTGTGGGCTATGATAATATATTGCCCGGTTGCACAAACCGAAGCAGATTGTCTTCTTAGAAGGTCACACTCGGAGCCTTCGATCTAATGGTCTGATTCCCAAGACAGTGGAGAAACATTAGAAGATGCAGTCCCATGATAGCCGGTGACCAACAATAGGTTTGTTCCCTCAAGATCCTGGAGCTCATGTGGTTTGGAACCTGGGTTTCCCAACTCCCATACGTGGACTCTCTGTGTACACCGACCTGGTTAAATCGCCGGACATTCGCTTTTCGTCCTCTCAATTCCGTAAACAAAAGTAATGCCGCGAGCAGATAGTGAGTAGAACTTTCCTGGCAGTGGCTGTATACATGTAGCCATGTGAGAGCATTTCGTGAGTGAGAGCCGACTCTCCCCACCCTCGGCCGTGCCAGGGTATTTGAGGGGAAACCACCAAAGGATGTGTTCACTAACTTGGCTTAGTTGTCTGGTTGTGCGGCCAATATAACTTTCTCCACAGGAGCAGCTGAATTCATAGATACAGATTGATGTAACAGAACCAGGTAACTTATCCTTTAGCTGAGGAATCACCATAGATCGGGTCGAGAACAATAGACAGAGATTAGGTGCACTAATATTTTTCTCCATTACTCGAGTCTGTTTATCCCGTAGCACAACGCCAGCTATATCTCCGTTGAATTAGTGCGCTAGAATGTGAGGTTTCTTACTAGCTGTTAGTGTCGCTATTTTCCTGTACATTAAATTAATGTCTTCAGAAACTTTGTGGACAACCCATTTCAACCAGCATATGAATAAGCTCTAGTTCTTTGTTCATCGTGTCGTCTGGGTACATCTTCTTAGCTCTATTTGCAAGACGTCCAACTAGGTTTCTCTTGAAATGAATAGATACAAAGCTCAAGAAATGTGTATAATGGCTGTCTGGAGAACTTTACCCATACATACGTCTACTGATAGGACCACTTTGTTTTCTGCCTAACAAAACGTCGTTGGTGGATATGGAGGGTCCATCTAGAGGAGATGAAAAACCCTGATTCCAAACCAATGGTACACATGGGTTCCGGAATCGTGAGGGAACAAATGGCGTATGGACCAATTGTTGGTCACCGGCTTCCATGGGACTGCATCACCATACGATGCTCCACTGCCTTGTGGATCAGACCTCTAGGTCGAAGGCTCCGGCTGTGACCTCCTAAGAAAACCACCTGTTTCGGTTTGGGCATTCGAACAGTACTCCAGTTCTCACACAAACCGAATGATTTATGTGGCGCATACATACATTTGGTGCCTCCTTGTATCGATCTTTATGTGTTTAAATTAATCTTTAAATGAATAAATAACAAAACGTCGAGGAAATGTAGTTTTTTATCAAGTTTCTCTTCGCACGTAAATCTGATAACTGAGTCTTCGTTGTCAATTAGCTCTAAGAGTTATTCTTTTCCAATGGAAGTACTATCAATGTAATGGCAATAAAGTCAAACTTATCCGTAACCCTTTTGAGAGGTCCGTTTTCTAGTTTCGAGGGAAAAAAAATCAACATGGATAGGACCTAGAGGTGAATCCATTGCTATTCCATCAATTTGTTCATAATATGTTACTAAAGACTAAATGAACGTCGACACATTGATTTAAGCCTTTGTTATTCTTATCACAACTAGTACATCTGTCATCATACTATCAATTCGTACTTTTATTATTACATTTATTTATGTAATCTATTCCACTGTTATCACTGAAGCATTGACTGCCTTGATTGGTTTAATAATTTCGTAGATGCATATAAATATTACTGTATATTAAAGCCTGGTGAGGATCTAATCGAAAACAATATTGTTCACTTATGTAGTTTGTTCTATCCTTATCGAGTTTACAGTGTTAAATATTATGTATGAGATAATCTCTTTCGATGCCATCCATTGACTATTGAGGTAATATAAATCATTGCCCAAAAATATTTCTTTTCACTTTTATTAAGTCTAGAAATTAGTCATTTATCTAACTGAATCGCTGCGTCTGAGAATAAACATTTTGTGTACAGTAGATGTTTATACAAATCTAGAAGTCCGATGAAAAATTTACTCTGTCCATCTTCCCATACTGTACTAAATATAATATATCAATTTCTCTCAATTGTTTATAATTTATAATAAGCGAGAAACCAATATATTTTTGAGCATAAAATATTTACAGTAAATGAGTAATCAGTAATTATTGTCTATCGTGTTTTGGTTTAAAGCGTACTTTTGTTGTCGACTATTGTCGAGGTGGAATTTTTTGATGATTTGTCTAAATAATGACTTTCTCATTGTAAGTTCATTGTCGTTGGTTTGTACACAATAGTTAGTTACAGTCAATTTATGATCTGTTGTGTTTATTGAAAACTTTTGTTCAGACTTTTACCAATTGAATTTTTCTTAGAAAACACCTAATATTTATTTGATTTTTTTACTTTTCCAGACAAGTACCAAACACTCCCTGTCAACAATTTCCATGGACTGTACAAACCTCTGGTTCGCCTAATGCAGTAATTGACCTCACTGATGATGTTAGTAGTAATGAAAGTTTCTGTGAAACTCCAGGAGTGTTAACTTATCAAACACCTCGAGTTCCAAATCATTCACAGCTATTGCATCATAATACAACGCTTTCTGCATATGATACACAAGGTCGATGTCAAATATATCCCAACTCACTTAACTCAAATGGTCCTATAGATTTGAGATATGTATCAAACAAACTGACGGCTAGATTACATCAACGAAATAAAACAGTTGTCATCGCCCAGCCATGTGCTATTGATATCAGACCACAAACAGAATCTTTTTTGTCTTACTCACCTCAAATCGCATCTATCAACTCCACTCTTGATATGCATCACTTTCAATTTAATCCAATGGGATCAGGAACAACACAAACGGGAGAATATTTTAGTGAATCCAACACACCCAATATAGTTATGTATCCTAATCGTAAACAAACATCTGGTTATTCATCAACCTCTTATTCGAATGCCAGATTGATAAATGAACCTCAGTATGCTGCTCAAAGTCATTGTCTGTCTACCTGTCAACCTGCACAACCTTGGGCTAATCGACTGAGCCGTTATCCCATTGAAGGTTCTGCCGATACAACCATCAATTTGGATAATCTTATCACTTGTAAAGATTTATGCTCAGAAGAACATTTTGATGATCCTTCCCATGAAATAAATTTACCTCGAAAAGTACATGTTCCGTTTGTTGAAGAAACACCCCCTAATTTTGGTCCTATTACTACTTCTACAACAACAACAACTACTACTACTCTGTTCCCACACTTGTCATTAAACACTCGCAAATTACAAGAAAGTCAGGTAATTTAAGTTTGTTTGTTTTCGTATTTAAGATATTCAAGTTGAACTTTTGACTAAATCATATTACCAGCTATTTTTAAAAATGTATTTACAATTAAAATTTCATTAGTTCAATTTAGAATAAAAGGTTGTTAAATTAAAAAGAAGTTTAATCCTTTTTTCAATGTAAAAGATATGACAAATCTATTTATATGTCGTCTGGATTTCCACTTAATTACAGCAGTGGATACTATTTAAATAATTAACTCTAGAATTTAATGACTTATCAAACAATTATCCTGATAAGTTTTTAAATTGAACCGATCAATGTCAGCCCACCATTGAAAACTTGAAAGCACTGAACGACCGTTTTGTCTTAGTGTGCATCGACGATCCTGCACGTCGGACTCGAACCCAGGACCTTCGGTTTGGCGCGCTAACTCTTAACATCTAGACCAGTTAGCTGGCATCTAACCGTGTTAATGTCTTACTTCAACCCATCCACGATATTGTACGACCATCTTTCATTGTCTTCGGTGGGTAACTGCCTCGGACCTGACACGGTTGATCAACACTGACCAGCCATTATTTATACTCGTAACATGAAATACAATTATGCTATGATAGTGAGCTACTGAAATTATAATTCACTTCATAAATTATATTTTAGAAAATAATTATAAGTAGCAAAAAGCTTGGTATTTTTATAACAGTTAATTTTTCAAAAGATAACATAGTGATATTCCTGTATACATTTAAATATTTTACAGATATATTTATAAAACTATTGTTAGTAGATCATATATAACTCAGAATAAAGTTGTTATTCATCAGTATATCTGTTTAGTAGAGTATTTAGTAGTGTTGGCTCATAATTATAGTATTTAGTTTGGTAGCCGTTGGGATGAAGTTTCAGATCCATTTCCAACTACGGTTTAAACAGTCAAGTCTAGATTTCATACTAGGAGTGTGACCTAGAGCTAAGTACATAAACTTGTACCTTTTTTATTTGTTTTTTTATGTTTATTTAAGTCACTTATCAAATGTATGTTTAGTGTATTCGACTGAGCTACCCAAGTTGTATCCGAGTTATTAAAACTATTGGGTCACCCAAACTGACGTAAGTAGAGTGAGGTCCAAACTTGCAACTTCTTGGTTGGATGCTAAGCACTTTTATTACTGAACAACCACCATCCTATTTATATCTAACGTTGTCGTGTTCAGAATTGATTATAGTGAATGTATATTGTACATGTTATAAACTTCATTTATTATTATCTTAATACATCTCAGTTTACGTTTTCGCTCTGATCTTTCAAGTGTACATAATTTAATTAGTTTTTCGCATATGAATCTCGTTTTAACTTTTTATAGAAAGTAGATTTGTTTAATTTTGATCTGTAAATGTAGATGTTGTCTTCTATGCACACATGTTTTTCATTATCTCAAGTCGCTACACAACTCTTCTAATGATTGCCGACTTAGAAATGATGTTATTTGACTATACTACATCAGGATCCATTTCGATTAGAAAGACAGTGAAACTTTCAGATTTATGGTTTAGATCAACCTTAGTAGTTTGCTGTTTGAAATATTCTTTGTAAGTCACAATGACTTGATGGATATTTGATAACGTATATCACGTTAAGTGCTTATGGAATCGTTGTGATCCCATTGTTCAATAAACAGGACAATATTGTTTGTTATGCTACTTATTATCTTGTTCAGTCTCTTTTACTGTTGTCATTTGGAAATATGATAATTTGACCAATTGAACTGGTTTAAAATGCTTCCATCGTTTACTCTTTATTTGCCTAACTTGTGCTTAGTGACTAAACAAAGCTTCAGAATATATTATAATATCTCCCCTAATTATCTTACAGGAAGTGCTACACTAATTTAATTACTTTAAATAGTTTGTATCGTTGTATACAAGTGATGCGAAATATCGTTAATCTAGGTTTCTGTTCATTTTTTTCTAACATGAAATTTTATTACTTAGTCTATTGTGTCGATTTATGGAGAGTCGTTTTCGTTTAAATAATCGCTCAACTTTTATTTTGTCTTAATTATTTATTTAATATTTTATAGTAAAAAGTTTTGATTAAAATGATTTTATTTAATTTCATTATTCAATCTTTGAGAATATTGCTCTTTAATTGTTTACGTTAAAACCTATTCCAATTTGATTCGTTTCAGAGTCGAGTTGTTGTCAATGATATGCGTGAAAAATCCATTACTGGAAGAAGTAGGAAAACAGCTCGAACATCATTTCGATCTTCAGGTTCTACTAATGTTCAAGGTTTGTTTTTATGCTGAACTTTTTACCCTTCATAGAAATGATTTAGCTCTAGATTGTTTTGTTTCACATTTTGTTAAGTAGAATATTCAAACATGTAGTTAATTTATTTTGTTAGTTTTTGCTGATAATGGGTAAAAATTAGGTCCATTATGCCTTTTTCTTTCTCTCAGGGATTTCTCAGGTGAATCTGTATTCTCAGACTTTCATGGTTAAATACTGTATCGCGTTATATATATATGTTGTAGAATATGGTTGGCAACTCTTTGTACAGCAGTCATGAAGTTTACATATTCCTCAATGGTTTTCGTTTCATATATCTCTTCCTACTGTATCGACTAGATGTGAACATCATTTCTTATGTTATTGACGTTGATAGGTTTTTGATATTTCCTTTGAATAATATAAATTGACAAACTATACTTATTTACCTTTGATCATTGTAGTTAGTGAAATCTCATAAACTAAGTAAAGTAATTCAATTAATTAGGTGTATGAGTTAACCCTTCAATTAGATGTTGGATGATTTAGCTAAAAACGATGGCTTGAAAGCACTGTTTCATCGATTTCTTGTTTTGTGTTAAATTTTCAGCTTAATATCATCTATAATTCTTCATTTAATATTTCTGTTACAATCAATATCAGTGTATCCTGTTGATTTCCTCTCTACCTGTGTTGGTGTTTGAATTGTTACAATTTAAACTGCCACATATTCGAACCATGTTTTGTGTTATTCATAATGGCTAATTGCTTCCTGTCTGGATACCATTTTGCAGAGAATAAATTTTTAAGATACCACTAGAAATGTTTCTCATTTGTTAACACTTTTCATTTCAGCATATTTTCTCATGATATAAGAGATTCAAAACGGATAAATATGAATTGACGTTATAAAATCGTTGAATAATTGTAACAATCATATCTAGAATTTTCTGTTGATTATTATCAGATATGTAATTAGAATTTCACCGTTTTTTTTAAAATTATATATGTCTTAAATTATTTTCAGTTAATAAGTCGTATAACACAATGATTATTACAAAAAATGCCGAAATTACTAACCATCATTATCATCTTATATGGATAATAATAGTAGTGTGCATTTTACCGTACTATATTTATATGTCCGATGATTACCTCATAAGAGTTCATTTATTAGTTTCCTTTAATGTTACCTAGATCATTTAATTTCAAACTATGATTCTGATTTCAATTGAGTTAGTTTCTATTATTTAAAGGTTCATTTAAATAGTTTAGATTTCTCAAATAGTATTCTACAGTCTTTTTTTTCTTATTATCATACTGGAATACAAATCTTATATTCTTAGTCGATTTAATCACTTCCTGATTGTTAATTTACCTAAATTTTAAACATTAGACTTTCACCCACTATGTTGTATGTTCTAATTCCATTCTGGTTATATTAACTTGTGGCACACAAAATGTAAGTTAGATCCGAATTCACATATCTGTAATTGGTTATTGAGTTGCATAACAGTCTAATTTACGTAGAAATTCCTCTTTATATTACAAATAGTCCCTCCATAGATAAATTTTATTATTGCTAATTCCTTCAAGATATTGGTAAGTATGTAAGAGGAAAGCTCATAAAACCTGTACAAATTGTTCTTTAGTGTATATTGTCGTAAATATTCGTTATAGAATAATAAAGAACTCAACAAATCTCATAACAGACAATCAGAATATGCGAGAAATGGAAATAAGATGAAACCATACATGAGATGATAAAGTGTTTTAACGATGTCTAGTTCAATTATTTTATTAGCTCAGATTGATTACCAAAATGAAGAAGCAATCAGTGTATGTTTTCCCTTGGATTTTGAATCTCGAAATCTTCTTATACCTATTTTCTCTGTATTTGATCTTTTCTTCTGATACTATTATTATTTCTACTACTATGAGTTTTGGCTTGATAATTTCATCGTTTCATTCTACTAACTTATTATGACAATCTAAACTAAATCATACATTTATCAGGTGAATAACTGATTGTCTAATATAGATAACTTTTTACTCATGTCATAGTGTTTCATCATACAGATCACATTAACCCCTTTATATTAATTATTATTCAGTAAGTTACTATTACTTATTATGTTCATTATATTAGACTTTTCATTTGATGAGTTTTATGTGACCTATAATTGTTCTTAGCTTTGTAGTAATTTAATCATAACTACTTAATAAGCAATTATAGTGTAACAATAATTGTTCAATTACTTAAGATACTACTTTTTAAAAAAAATTCTAATTTTGACTCGATATCTATTGCTAAATATCAGTATAATTCTAAGTAATTTTGTTTAAATAATATATTTATGGGGATTATCAAATTGTCAGCAAATATAAACTGTCTCCGATTTATTTATTATTTACTCATTTGAACACATAAATATTGGTACAAGGGGGCACCAGATACATATGCGCCACACAAATCTCGTTTGATGTGTAGGAGAGCTGTAGTACTCCCCGGGTGGCTTTCTTGGGGGGCCACACCCCAAGCCTTTGACCTGAAGGTCTGGCACCAAATACATATGCGCCACACAAATCTTATTCGATATGTGCGAGGGCTGTGATACTGCCCGGGTGCCCAAATTGAAGCAGGTGGTTTTCTTAGGGGGCCACTCCCCGAGCCTTTGACTTATATGTCTGACCCACAAGGCAGTGGAGCATCGTAAGGAGATGCAGTCCCATGGTAGCCGGTGACCAACGATTGGTTCATACGCCATTTGTTCCCTCAGGATACTGGAGCCCATGTGCACCATTGGTTTGGGATCCGGTTAAAGCGCCGGACATTCGCTTTTCGTCCTCTCATTTTTGTAAATAACACCCCCGCCACGAGAAGGCAGTGAGTAGGACTTCCCTTTCAGAGGCTATATACGCGTGGCCATGTGAGAGCTTTTCGAGAGGGAGAGCGGACTTTCCCCACTCTCGGCCGTACCAGGGCATTTGGGGTCTGATCCACAAGGGAGTGGAGCATCGTAAGGAGATGCAGTCCCATGGTAGCCGGTGACCAACAATTAATTCATACTCCATTTGTTTTTTCAGGATAATGAAGCCCATGTGTACCACTGGTTTGGAATCAGGGTTTTCCAACTCCCCTAGATGGATCCTCCGTATCCACTTACCCAGGTAAAGCGCCGGAGTTATGCTTTTCGTCCTCAATTTCGTAACCAACACCCCCGCCACGAGAAGGCAGTGAGTAGGACTTCCCTAGCAGAGGCTATATACGCGTGGCTATGTGAGAGCATTTCGAGAGGGATATTGAAAACTCTCCATTCTCGGCATTTGGGGGCCGTCTCTGGTTTATAAAATATTAAATTCACATGTTAATTCTAGTAATCATTATTAAGAAATACATTTCCCCTTATTCTATGTGTAATCGTTTAAATGTTTAATTCAAAACAGAAGGAAAAATAATATTTTTTTTCAAAGCAGTTTTTCTGACAGAGTCAAATAGCAATATCATTTATAGTAAATTTGTTGTTACTCTCGTTTACATTGGAGTTGAAAGAGATATTTTTCAGAATATATTGTATGCGAGTATTTTTAATGGTACTTGAGTCTTACATAAAGGTTAATGTGAATGTAACAATAAATTTTGATAAAATAATCCAATGTTTATTAAATTGAAATGTATTCATTGAATTTTAATAGAAGATCTATCGACAAACAAATGACATGGATATGAAATAATAGATGATATAATTTCACTTGGTATTGTTTACTCGAATTTCCCCATCGATGTATACGAATGTAATTGATCAGTCTCTTATTGGTATATGTGCATACTGTGCGTATTGCCTCGATATTGCTGTGATTTACAAGCAAGTAGCTGTCAGAGCTAAATAGCTAATTGGATAATTCGATGACATTTGAAGCGAACGGTACTGGGTTCGAGTCTCAGAGTGAACATCAACTCTGAGATTCAGATACATCTAGTTGACGAGTTCCAAACAGGACAAAACGTGCGTCCTGGATTCCATTGCTAGTCACTATCTATCTTTGCTTAATAGATGATATATTTTTATTTAAAAATTGTTTCGCAAATTTCATACGATTTTGAAGGCACAGTCATTTTAACATTACAAAGTATGTTTCCAATTTATACTATTTAGGGAATTGTTTATTAAGAGGATTTATTCAAACGAGAAGTACACATTCAATCGATTGTTTTTAACTTACAAATTAGCCGTTTATCCACATGTGTTAGTAAATGAAGCGTTCTTGGTGGATATTTTAAGCTTTGTGTGACTGAGCGCTCTAGTAACAAACAATTAAATAGGCTCTTCTTTTGTGTTCAGCAATCCCATAGATTTTTACTCAAGCCAGGTAATCGAAATGTATTGACCTTTATGAACCAGTGTTATATATATATATATATATATATATATATATATGTGTGATTTTGGACATTTAAAGAGCCTGATAATAACTACGTTTATCGTTAATGTATTCGAGCATGCTAAAAAATCAAAGTTAATAAAAGCTTCATTAAGTAACTTAACAAATTACATAAACAGATAAATTTCAACTGAATTGCTTAATCAATTGAGTTACACTTTGTAAATGGGACATTCTCATCAATTTTCATACTCTTTCTTTAATTACCATTTTCATGAAGCTGAAATGATAGCGTAGATAGTTTCCTTTAAATTCAATCAAATCACTATTATTTATTTATTTGAACACATAAATATTGGTACAAGCTGGCACCATATATATATATATATATATATATATATATATATATATATATATATATGCGCACTATATATAGAAGTGATCAATATTATTGTATTTGTACTCTTCAAATCGAAGTTTTGAACTTTAAGCAAAATTAAGGTTTATTAATATTTTAAATACAAAATAACTTGAGATAAGTCTAAATACGTAATAATTGTTTGACTGTATCAACAATTATTCATGTTGATTAATATCAGAAGAGGTTTTGTGGATATTATAATAATTTCTTAATAGTTGAGATCATGAATCAATTGAAGTTAAACTACCATGGAAAACCTGGAGGCACTGGACGACCGTTTCGTCCTATTGTGGGCCACCTTAGCAGTACACATGCACGACCCCGCCTCGAGAGATTCGAAACCAGTGCCTTCAGTCTCGCGCGCGAGCGCTTAACCACTACGTCACTGAGCGTTGCAGGTTCAAATTTTCCCCCACCTACTTCAATTTAAGCGACAATTATAGTAAGATTGGCTTCCACACTTAAAGTGTGGCTTATACCCAAATACCTGGTGAATTATTGGGTTATTAATATTGTGTCAACTTTGATATCTGCTCATGTCATCAATATCATTCGAAAGTCAACAATTTCATTATCTACTCATTGCACAATATGATTTTATGTGATAATTTTGACAATGATAAGATAATCGTAAGTTTATATTAGTCTTTTATGAATCTGGGATTCCTATTATGCTATGGTGATACTGGGTTACTAATGAAGTGTTTATCATAGTATTTGATTAATACATTATTCTCTTTCTGTGTATATTTTGTTTAGGTCCTACTCTCACTAGTTTGTTACATCTACGTTATCAACACCAACAGCCGAATCAACAACAAGGTCAATTTCAGTCGATCTCTGGACTTTTAGGCGGAGGTAAAGTTAATCCTAGTGAACATGTATCATCAAGACCCACGGTTATTAGTAAAACTAAGCCAGTGACTTCTGCAACAGATGTTTTCAATTGTAAAATATCATCGTCATCATCTACGGTTTTTGAATCACAAGAGAAAGCGGATATTTTGAATTCTGTAAATCCTCAACTAGTCTATTCCCCATCTTTGATAACACCAAACATACCATGCACGTATGTTGGCTTGTCGTCGAATTACCCAACTTCATCAACTACTTTCAGCTCAAGACTTCCTAATCAGGTGTTAGATTATTGTGTTGATAACTCGTTAGATACATTTTATGTCCCTAATTCTTTACAGACTTGTCCAAATACAGTACCCTCATCCATTTCACCATATTCTTTACATTCCAATTCTAGACTTAATAATTATGTTATACAACGTAATGTACAATTAAACCAACCACAGGCTAGAACTTTGTTTGCAAATTCAATTAGTTCTCAAACGAATGAAACTAGTCCCAATTTAATACTATCTTCTTCCTCATCCTCTTCTCTGTCAACGGCTACTTTATCGAGTAATCGTTATTTTGTCATTCGACCAAGTGCAATCGCACAAACACCTAATTTAGTGGTTTGTGCTAAACGCAGGGATACTTATTCCACATCTAATATAAATAGATCTTCTGAAGATGTATGATATTATTATTCCTATTTATTAATTTGCCGTTTTTGTATTTTCTCAAAGTATTTCCCTTCAGTATTCCATGTATTCCTCTTTACTCAAAGTTTTCTTTATATTCACCCTCTCTCTTGTTCTTCTCTCTTGACATTACAAAAGCAAGTCTTTTGTTGGTATGTAGTTAAAATTCATTTTTCCCGTAATTTTGCTTTTTCTTGTGTAAGTTATGTTCAGCAAAGATACTACATTTACTGATATTACTGTCGACACTAATAAAACTATTATTAGTATTAGTAACAACTTTCAGTTAATCATATCATTATCAAATCATGTTTTTTTCTTAGTGAATTAATTTTGTACAAACAGAAAAAACTTTTAGTTGTTTTCTCTCCTGTTCTGTTTTTTCTTTTTTCATGCGAACGACCAATCAGTAAATAAGCTGACTAATATAACGCTTTTTACTGGGAAGAGATAAAGAGTTTGCTGACTAAGGTATGAATGAATAATCCATTGTCCAGCGATCTCCACTTTTCTCTTTGTCCTTCATTTTGACTTCTCTCAAATGTCTTTTTGGGATAATATTTCATGTAAAGACCATTTTGTATTCAATCTGAAGTCGAAGTCGTGTTCATGAAGATGTCCAGTGTGTTATTTATGTTGTGTTTAAATGTGATGTACAAATAGATGGTATACTTGTTATGGTGGATTATTCCAATAACCATGGTTGTCGCACAAATTGTTTACGAAACTAATTCTCACTGAAGTATATTTGATCACTATACGGGTCATTTTGTGTTAAGGTCAAATCCAATTACAAGTGTTCAGAGAAAGTGACATCGGTAAAGCTGGCATTTCATCAATTTATAGAAGGACATTAATCTCATATACTGTAATGTTTCATACTATTTATTTAAGGCTTCAGACTGTAGTATTCGACTTTAAGGTTCTTGTCTCAGTTTTACTATACACTCAAACTAACGTTGTTTAAAAAATATGGCATCATGAATGTCATCAATCTGTTTGTATTATTTTTAAGGCTATCTTACAATACCTTCGTCATGTACCAATGTAACATGACTAAACCAAATGTCCAGAGTGGTCGTTTGCTTACCTATCTGCTCTCGGTTTGTAATCTATGTGAAGTTTCTATGCCACTCAGAGTTCCTAGTATTTGTTTTTGTTGAGGTCCCACTTTATGATTAATAAAGTAGTTTCTACCGGCATCACTATTATGCAGTCTAATTTAATTGAAATAGTGTTTTGTAACTTATTTTACAGGATATATGTCCATTACTCTGTAATTCTCCGGTGAATATTAGGTTCATTGAAGTCCTTGTTGTTTCGCCTTTAGAGTTGATACTTTGATAAATCATTCACCCTACTCCAATAATTCTAATTTTTTAGCTAGCAGGGCTTGGGAAAAGTGGGAGTATTATATTGTCCTGTTGTGATGCTGCTGGATTTCGTTCCGCATGCTGATATTTGGTGTTATCATTACCTCTTCAAACATAGCAGTAAGTATATTCTAAATTTTGCTAGAATCTCTTACGACAAATTTCACCATGGTCATAAAGTATTCATGTAAGCAATCTGTCTTATGCCAAGTGACAAATGCAAAAGTTGGTTTCGCGAATCACACACGAGTCTTATAGCAACTGCTTACAAAAAACCTAGCAAATCAAACTTCATTTTATGTGCAGCACACACAACATGAATTCTGAGGATTTGCTAAGAAATATCATCTTTCTCTTAACAGATCTGTAAAAATAATGTCAGCAACTCTAGGAAGTGGAAGTCATGAAATGAGTGAACAAAGACAGGCAGAGAAGTGAAAGAGATGGTCCCCAAATCATTAGGATCGATGGAATACGCGTCGACAATAGTGGAGATATGCTGACATTCAGTGCACTCACAACATCGACAGTGTTAAATTCGCTCAGCACAGGCCCTTCAGTTACAACTATGATGCCAAAAATTCCGTAAGCGAATGGACTTAGTCAGCAGCGCTGAAAACGATAGAATGTCACCGTCGATAACGTTGAACAGCCCATGAGAAAAATCGGCCACAGAATTGGCTGTGCGACCTACCCTAGATTTCTCCAAATAGCTAACAATGAGCACGATAAACCAAAACGTAATCCAACTGCCAAACAAAAAGACGTCGTCATAAAAGTATTCGAAAAACTGATAAATCGACCATGGCTTGAGATGATTCTTTCATAGTTATCAACCTAAATTACAGTTCTAAATTTCCTTTCGTTCTACGGAACTTAAATTTCAGGACGCTCTGGGAAGAACTAACCAGGCAACTCGAGCTTCTAGAAATCAAGCGAATTATGGCTACGCCGTCTCCATGGGAAAGGGTTCCAAACACTGAAACCATTGAAGACTCACTCGAGTAACGTTCACGAACTCTGCCGATGTAGAGGATCTTCTGTTGGCCTGTCGCGTACTGAAACGCAACAAGGAATTTCGCGCGTAGTTCTCTCGCGAAAATATAATTGTTTAAGGTGTCCAAGAAGACACGGACACTGACTATGCAGTCTGTAATAAAGCAGAGCTTGAAAATTAGGAACATATTGACTCAACAAGTGATGTGATTCGCCATGAAGATTAGGGAATCTAGTCCCCGGCTAGTGAAGATTGTGCTCTCATCCTCCAATACCGCAGCCGCCAATCTCAAAGCATTTCGTTCCACACGACGCAAAGTTAAGGCACAATTACGAATCGGAACTAATGATTTAACTTGTGGACTTCCAAGAAAAATGAAAGAACGTCGAACTGATAGAGACTACGAACTCCGAAAACCATAGGTAGGTTGCTTGTACATACACATAAGGTTCATTCAGATAAACGGGTCGAGGAAGCGTTTCATATCTAAAAAACCGACTGCCGGTGTATGGTGTGCCGCGAGTTCCTCGAACAAATGGAATAAGTGATGCTAATAACACTCATTTGATAGGAGTATCTGAAACATGAGCATCTCAAATTTCGAACCAGAATCAAGTATTACCTTCCAATGTCTTTGCTTCGCGACCACCGAAATAAAGGAATGGAGAGCGATATTACTTGGCAACACGTCACGTTTACACTTGAAAATTTATCGATGTACTCAGTACGACTGGCTAACAGCTCGTGGTATTTCGTTAGAGACATCTGCAGGATGCTCACTGCTAACAACGAGTAAGAAAATCTTATGCTGGGCGATTATCTCGTGCTAGTTGTTTCGGACACACTTATTTTCTGATTCTAGAGGAATTCAATCTTCCTGAAATCGACTTAGCTGACACACCTTCATTGAGGGCTGCAACGAAGCTCAGAAGAACTACAAGTGTTGGCGCCAAATGATCTGAAATTTTCAGCAAACTGCGACAAAAATACTTTAGGAGCAAATCTTGAACTTGTAGTGACCTACTTTTATCAAGAGAACGCGATTGGTTTAATGGAAACAATTATTATTATAACCAGTCGTACCAGTGATTGTTTTACTGTACTTATTTGTTTGACTGTACTAAAGATATTCTTCCTTCCGTTGATTGTGACTTTGCACGCGCTTACACTTGCTCAGTGATTCCTCTTGTGCCCTTTTGGCACGATCTCGGTATTCTTTCGATACCACGAGATCGTCAACAAATATATCTCGCTACAACCTCCAATCGCCTTCTGATATCTGGTACGCAACCTTCTTGTAGTGGTGACCATAGTCAAACGCGACACGAGGCCACAGTACACACTATTAAAGTTGAAGCGCATTTTTAGCTGGTTCGATGACAGCACTTTTCACTTTACGTTCGGCAGTTTTATTCTACTTCATTTGGTGTATGGGAATATAGCGTTTCTATTCTCACTTCAAAAGGATTATGGCACACAAGAATGCATTCCACAGCGAGCCAGGAATTCAGTTTTGAGACTCAATTTCGGACTTTATGAAGAGAGCGCTTCAAATCATCTAACCTTTGTTCGTTAGAGTATAGGCGTTTTAGAGGTAACTTTTTAAAGTCTTATGGCATCCGAAACACTTTTGTACACCCCCTAAACACCAAATTTAGCTCAGTTCCAAGGAAAACCTTTAGGGTAAAACCTAGAAACTGGAGACACAATATAACAAGTGGACTGTAAGCGCACATTTCACCCTTTTATAATAGTCATATGCCGAATGCTTCTGCAAACTTCGGTAGTCCAAACGACTTATCATGGATCTTTTGGGAGAAAACGTTACATGTTCTTTAGGACTAAGGAAACTATCTCACTAAAATTCGCTAATTTATTCTTTTATCGTTAAATATACCAAGGTTTCCACCTGGCAGTATCTCTGATCCACTTTTACCAGATACGGAAGCTCGTCAAGTGAAAGCTTATTATATTCCATCCAGGACCATTTGAACAATTTGGGCCACTGAGCCGCCAATCAAAAGTTTTATCTTAATTCAATCAATACATGATCTTGCGTAGCCCTCCATCCACTGCTCGTGGTAAATAACGGTCTCACACCTGATGACATGGAATTATACCTAAACACCAGTTGATTTACTTCAGCACTCCTTAAAGATATTGGATATTGTATGAGATGATCTGCAAAATGTTTGGCGCGAAAACATCCGCAAGGCCATGGTTCTCGTGATATTAGAGGGTCGTGGTGGTATGTGTTTTCGATAATTTGCCAGGAATTCATTGGACGCACGAGCGACTTAATGTAGACTTATCTCAGTGATATGCTCGTGCCGATCAGTTTTTCATATTCAACGGAGATATATCAAAAACAGTTCTGCAATTCTTCCACACCACTTCCAAAGTCACATTTAGTTTTCCCGAATGTATTGCCTTACTCCGAAAAGGTGTCAGTAATGTTTAATGGTCTACAGACTGCGCCGTCTTTGAAATGTGCCAATCCGATGCCACAAATTGGCCAACCATTCATTATTGGAGGTCCTGTTTTAGCAGTTGGCAAATCAACTTTTTCTCCTGCTGGGTATGGGAATTCACAGAGGCTCGAAAATGGGTTCGTTTTTCAACCCAGTCTGACCCGAAAAGTGTACATGCCCGAAAAGTCTTTGGGATTTGGTGCTTTTGGTGTTGTGTGGTAATATCGTATATTATTGTTACCATGTAGGTTGGTTGTTGATCCACGAACAGGCGACCAGGTTGCTCTTAAGAGAATCCCCAACATTTTTGAAAGTGTTGTGTCTGCTAAGCGAGCGTACAGAGAACTAAAATTGTTGTTCTCTTTAAAACATTTAAATGTAACAACACTAATTTTTATTAAACGCATCTAGATTGTCCGCCTGATTGATGTCGTAAAAGTCAGCAGTTCCTCTTTGTTCAGCGAAGTGTACGTCTCGTTTTACTTTCATCTAGGTTTTTTATAGCTCCGTTCTTTGCGAATATATGGATACTGATCTGCACAAAATAATCGTGTCCACTCAATATTTATCGCTAGAGCATGTCAAACTTTTTGTCTATCAGATACTAAGAGGTAGGTGTAGTTTTTCTTACTTGAATGTTAGGTTTAAAATATCTTCATTCTGCTGGTGTTATTCATCGGGACCTAAAACCAGGGAACCTCTTGGTTAATTCTGACTGTTTATTAAAGGTAACTTATTTTAGTCCTTTTTAAAGAATGACGATTTAGAGACTTCAGGTTGTATGTGTCTATTAAATAGTCATACAGTAGTACGGCAATTTTCCCCGCAACCGTTGGTTTCCAGAGGTTTAGTTTTGCTAATTGATGAGTCCTATTGTTTGAAATTCTTTAAGTTAGTTTATTAAGCCACTCCTGAATCATTGATACAGGTTTTCCAGGTGGTGAACGTTAAAGAGAAACTTACACAATCTGTAAACATAGTCTATTTCTCTATTATTATGAAAACTAACTTTACAAGTTTCTACGCTTAGGGAAGAAACTATATTTCGTCCGGGTTTAGAATAAGACTTTGTAGTGTGCTTTTTGGTAAGAATTACAACTGGATATTTATCTATTGATCTCCTCAGAGCAACTTGAGTCCAGTGTCCTGTTTGCACTGTCAGTTAGAACAAACGTTCGTCTCACAATAAAACACTGAGTCCTTCTATATACAGTAATCAGTCCAGTTAGAAGAAATGTAATCAAACCTCATAATGAGAAATTTTCATGTCTTGTTTTAGCATCTTAATCATTTTGTGCGTGTAGTTCTGCCTTCATTTTGACAGAATTTTTCAAACAGGAATCGAAGCTGTGAATCACTTGATTTTTGAAGTTATGTACTCAACGTACTATCCAAGTCGTTAGTAATAAAAGAAGCTATGTTGCCAAACTTAAATATAGCACCGTATACCAATAACCGCTTTTCGCGAGACATGCATGAGGATAAAGGCTTTAGCACAGTTTCGTAAGACTAATATGTTAGGCCAGTTGGTAAGTAACCTAATCAATCGTGCATTTCTTTCAACTCTGTTACGCTTATTCGGGCTTTGGTAGTCGGTTACTACTACTGGCTGTCACCCATGAAACGTAAATCGTGGCCGATTACTTAAACCTGTAGTTAATTATTGAGTTGTTCTGCATCTAAAAGTGACTAGAAGCTTTCGATTATTTTAGTCATGATTGGTCGCATTGAAACAAGTTGGTCTACTATCTATCTTCTTCCGGATTATCCTGTTCTCGCGTTTTTTTCATTTGTAGATTTGCGACTTCGGTCTTGCTCGTTCAGTGCCATCTTTTAGTGTAGAAAGATCTTGTAATCCACTAACTCTTGAAGTTGTGACTCAATTCTATAGACCACCAGAATTACTTCTAGGTTCGAATTTTTATACAGCTGCTGTCGATCAGTGGAGCGTTGGCTGCATACTTGGAGAGCTTCTTTGTCGTCAAATTTTATTTCAAGTGAGTTTAATAGCTACCACTATTTTAATGAATTTTGTGCTATTTAGACTTTGGTTCATAAATTACTCTACAAATTACGTTTCTGAAGTTAAGATTTCTAAGATATCTCTCAATTTAAGCTCTGATGTATTCTCCTTTGTAATCGCTTTACATTCAATGGTCACGTTTCGTTAATCGCTTACCTAGTGCACATTTGCCCTATGATAATTAACTGACAACATTAAGTTTGCATGATAAAAATCGCCTGCATACCCATGGCCTTTGCTCTAATCGCTTGTTTTACTGGCTATTAAGTATTCTTATTTATTTAGTTGAAACTTCTACTGTTGTACAATAAACGTAGCCTTTATACAAATACAGTATTCATTTTTTAAACATCAATGACGGAATCGTCTATGAATTGGTGTTTTTGAAGAAGATATTTATGTTGTGCGTTTACAAATTTTGTACAAGGTCTCAGATACACATTTCTATCGAACACCAATATATCTGAAAATAATGTCCAGAGTCTTCTTTCAATTGTGTTTTTGACCTCAATGCTTTATTTGTCACAAGGCAAAACGCTCTTCAAAAATGCAACTTTTAACCCATATAGTGTTAAATGTGACGTTTCCTCAGTTCTGCACATACAGAAGTTATTCCCACCTACTGCCTTACGTTCGTCACATTCATACAAGTTACTCTAAATTTCTTGTTCTACTATAAATGTTACTATGATGCGGTGGCCGAGCTTACGTTTCGTGACGGGCGGGTTGAGCTATATCGACTGGAATAATTGTTTTTCCTTCTGGCCCCCTGAATGCCCTGGTACGGCCGAGAGTGGGGAGAGTCCGCTCTCCCTCTCGAAATACTCTCACACGGCCACGCGTATATAGCCTCTGCCAGGGAATGTCCTACTCATTGCCTTCTCGTGGCGGGGGTGTTGTTTACGAAAATGAGAGGACGAGAAGCGAATGTCCGGCGCTTTAACCGGATTCCAAACCAATGGTGCACATGGGCTCCAGTATCCTGCGGGAACGAATGGCGTATGAACCAATCGTTGGTCACCGGCTACCATGGGACTGCATCTCCTTACGATGCTCCACTGCCTTGTGGGTTAGACCTTTAGGTCAAAGGCTCGGGGAGTGGCCCCCTAAGATAACCACCTGCTTCGGTTTGGGCACCCGGGCAGTATCACAGCCCACACACAAATGATGAACTGTTTATGTCTATGGAAACTACTTCTGTCGCTTTGAAAAACAATCAATTGATTCAAATTATGATCACTTCAATTATTGTCATTATTAATACTAATATTATTATTACTACTATTATTGTCATTATTGTTATTATTATCATTATTATTATTATTTTCCACATTATTCACCTTCTTTTATACTTATACAGCGGCTCGTCTTTGGTGGAATTCCGACTGTATCTAAACGTTCTCGAGTCACTGTCCGGTTGAAAATTGTATGTTACCACCGAATACGAGGACTGAAGCAGATTTTCTGAAACCACGTGCACCATTCAAACTGGCTGCCTTCAACGTTCGCACATTTATGCAGGTCGGACAACAGATAGGGCTGGCTATGTCTTTGGAAAGTCTTAATATCGACGTGTGTTGTCTATCCGAGACCCGTATTCAAGACTCTGGCGAAGTACTACAAATTCGATCTCCATCTGTCGCTTCGAAAAGCTTGTTTTACGTGCGCTTATCCGGGGACCCTGTGGCATCTTCGTCTGGTTTTGCTGGCGTTGGTGTCGCACTAAGCGCTAGAGCTGAGGCAGCACTAGTCGATTGGATCCCCATTAACAGTCGGTTATGTGCTGTTAGATTAGAAAGTTCCATCAAAGTGAGAAGAAATCGGCGTGAGAAACGATGTCTTTTCGTCATCTCCGCCTATGCCCCGACAGATTGCAGCCCGGATGCAATCAAGGATGAGTTTTACCACCAGTTATCAGTTCTTCTCCAGAAAGTGCGTTCGACAGATATTGTAGTACTAGCCGGAGACTTGAATGCTCAGGTCGGGCGTCTAGGCACAGAAGAGAGTCGTTTAGGTGGCCGATGGGGACTCGTTGGTCGCAGGTCAGATAACGGGGACCGTCTACTGCAACTTTGCGCAGACCACAACCTGTTTCTGGCTAGCACTAACTTTCGGCACAGTCATCGCCGATGTGCCACCTGGCGTCCTCCCTCTGCATCTCAAGCCTGGACTCAGATTGATCACATCGCGATCAGCTACCGCTGGCGTGGTTGTGTACAAGACTGCCGCTCCTTTTGGAGTACCTATCTGGACTCTGACCATGCCTTGGTCTGCGCCAATCTTGCCTTACTTTTCAGTGGACAACGAAGTGAACGCCATCAACGGATTGATGTTAGCAAGCTGGTTGCAACTTCTGTTGCAAGTAAGTATCGAACTGAGCTAGCCTCTAGGCTAGCTACCACTCCACCGAAAAGTATAGATGAGCATTGGTTGCAATTGCATGACGCCATGAAAATGGCGGGAACAGTCAGTTGTGGGTTTGCGAAACGTCCCGCTTTTAAGCACTGGGTTTCTGCAGGTTCCTTACAACTCATTGAAGCCCGTCGGTCTACTCCGGGTAACCGTGAGTTTGACCATAAACGAAGGTTTTTACGTAAGGAAATCGGGCAAAGCTTGCGTAAGGACCGAGAAGCCTGGTGGTCGACGCGTGCTAATGAGCTGGAAGCAGCAGCTGCATCTGGTAACTACCGGAAGCTCTTCCAACTCATCCGAGCCACTGGCAGCAAGAAGTCTGGTGTGAGTGAAACAATCTGCGAGGATGATGGGATGCCAATCACTAACATCCATCGACGTCTTGGACGATGGGCAGAATTTTTCGAAGGGCAGTTCAACTGGCCTGCTGCTCCGGTAACATCGGTCAGACTGTCCTGCCCTCCATGGCCGGTGACGACTGATCCACCAAATGAGGAGGAAGTCCGCAAGGAACTCCAACTCTTGAAGCGTTACAAATCACCTGGCCCAGATGACTTACCTCCGGCTCTTTTTAAAGATGGTGGTGGCTTTTTGACTAAGGAATTGACGACGTTGTTTACAAAGGTTTGGGATCTAGAGAGTGTACCAACGTCATGGAATGAGTCGATAGTTGTCCCTATCTTTAAAAAGGGTTCACGTCGTTCTTGTAACAACTATCGGGGGATAAGTTTACTTCCGATTGCGTCCAAGCTATTGGCTTCCGTCATTCTTCGTAGGTTGTTCAAAACCAGAGAAAGATTGACTCGCGAGGAGCAGGCTGGGTTTCGTTCTGGTCGAGGATGTATTGATCATATCTTCACCCTCCGCCAAATGTTAGAACACCGCCATACTTTTCAAAGGCCAACAATCGTAGTGTTTCTTGACATCAGGGCTGCCTTCGATTCGTTGGATAGGACTGTTCTCTGGGATTGTCTATTGAAGAAGGGTGTGCCTGAGAAGTTTATTAACATCCTAAAAGCCCTGTATAAAAACACCTCAGGCAGAGTGAGGGCATACAACCACCTCTCTCCATTGTTCCATTCGAGCAGTGGGGTTAGGCAGGGTTGCCCAATCTCACCATTCCTCTTCAACTTTGCCATCGATGACATTCTGGAAACAGCTCTGATGAATGTAAGTAATGGTGGTGTGGATCTGTTGCCTGGAGAAAGACTTCTCGACCTTGAGTATGCGGACGATATTGTCTTACTGTGCGATAATGCCCAAGGCATGCAATCCGCACTTAATCAGTTGGCAATCAATGTCCGTAGGTATGGTATGTGCTTTGCACCTTCGAAGTGCAAAGTACTTCTACAAGACTGGCAGGATTCTAGTCCTGTACTCACTCTGGATGGTGAGCAGATAGACGTAGTTGAGAAGTTCGTGTATCTGGGTAGCTACATAAGTGCTGGTGGGGGTGTGAGTGATGAGATCAATGCACGAATAGTGAAAGCCAGAGCGGCTTATGCCAATCTGGGCCACCTTTGGCGCCTTCGTGATGTTTGTCTGGCTGTAAAAGGCCGGATCTACAACGCGTCGGTGAGAGCAGTTTTGCTCTATGCTTGTGAAACCTGGCCTCTCCGAGTTGAGGACGTTAGACGACTCTCTGTGTTCGATCATCGCTGTCTCCGAAGGATTGCTGACATTCAGTGGCAACACCATGTCAGTAATGCAGAGGTTCGGCATCGTGTGTTCGGGCACAGAGATGATAACTCAATTGGTGTCACCATCTTGAAACACCGACTTCGGTGGCTTGGACATGTTCTCCGAATGTCGTCCCAGAGAATTCCACGTCGTGCATTATTTGCCGACTCTGGGACTGGTTGGAAGAAGCGGAGAGGTGGTCAGTGCATGACATGGTGTCGTGGCATGAAAGAAAGCTGCAAAGGACTGGCTTGTGTTGGTCCTTCACGACTCCCTGGCTGGGGTCCGAGAGATGGTGCAACACAGTGGCTAGAGACGTTATCAGATATGGCTCAGAATAGAAGCCAGTGGCGATCCTGCTGTAACCTTCTTTTACTTTCTTCATAAAAGTGGTTGTATCTTACTTTACTGAAAGATTTCTTCTGATTGTACCTCTTCGTCATTACTCTCTTTTTCTTTTGCGTTCCTTAGTTTTTTTTTCTTTTTTTTCTTTCTACTTCTCTTCGAATTCCCATTGTTTTGTGTGGCGCATATATATTGGCGCTCTCTTGTACCAATATTTATGTGTTCAAATAAATAAATAAAACACCAGCCATGTAGTTTGCCTAGTGGTTAGGTCGAGTGCAACGAATTTAAGGTCCGTTGACGGAGTATTACTGTCTATATTTTCTACAAATATCCGGCATCTCTACCAATACTTTCTCATGGTGGAAAGAGAAGAGCGAAAAACGATTGGCGTAGAAAATAGTACATATTATCCTAATTTACAGATTTCCAGTATTGATGGTAATGTCTGGAAAATTTGGAGCTATTTCACTGAAATTTACTTGCAAAATGTTTATTGTATAACCAACATCAACCCTCCTTTACGTTTTACATTCA